GCTGGTCCACTCAGGGTGCAGGGGCAAGGCTGGTTCTGAGTGGGGAGGGGAGAATACACACCTGACGGTCCCTGCCTGGTACTGGGGAAAGGTCAGACCTGTGACCTCCACCCCCTGGGGTGGAGCTGCCCCAGACACAAAAAGAGCCATCCTACTTTGAAGAAAGGAATCTTTATTAATAATCGTCATCATCAATAACACTGCTGATTGGCGTGGTCACACCTAGAAGCACGCAGGATGGTAAGAAAGGAAGCCGGCTGCAGTCCTGGGGGGCCGAGGGGCACAGGGCTGCTGGCAGGCAGCGGGCGGCGGGGGCTTTGTACAGGAGTGGGCCACGCGAGGGGAGCCCAGGAGCCTATGTACACCGCGATAGAAAAGGAGAACCGGTCAGGAGCGGAGGCCGGATAGAAAGTGAGGTGTGTGTGCGTGAGTCTGAGGTTCATGAGGCCCTGGGGCCATGTTGGGCCGTGGGTGGAGGGTTGTATGTTGTGTGTGTGTATTTATTATTTTTGCTGCCTCCCCTTCCTCAGCTGTCCCTGCCCTGCTGGGGGTACCTCCAACCCTGATCCTTCTGCCCCTGGTGGCTAAAGCTACTCCCCACCCCCACCCCCGACCCCCAGGCCTGGCCTGTGAACAGGGAAGGGTCTGCAGCCCAGCTGACCTCACCCTTGCAGGAGAGGCCGTCCAGGCCTGCTGCTCACATGCTCTGCCTGGGGGTCCCTGCTCTTACCCATAGCACCGACACCCCAACTTCTAGCCTCCACTCCCAGCTGGGCCCGTCCCTGTCCCCTTTCTCGTGGTCACCTCTGGAAAGGAGGAGGCATGGCCAGGAGGAGGGGCCTCAGGTCCTGCATGCTGAGCCACTAGGCCCAAGCTGTTCCTGCCCTGTATCTTCTGTGTAGCCGAGCCCTCTCTCAGTGGCAGCACTCTGGTGCCCCGGCCCTGTGAGCCCTTGTGCAGAGCCCACCCATGGAGACCGGCCAACAGCCTCCAGGAGGCCCCTCGTCCTCCCTGCCCGCGGGTCCCTGCAGCCCCTGCTGGGCAGGCCCAGCACTGTGGGCGCGGAGGAGGCCGGGCCCCTTTGGGTGCTGAGCTGTCTCCCCACGCGCCTGGGGGTGGGCTGCCGAAAGGAAGACTTGATAGAAAAGGGCGCCCCCACCCCCCAAACTCTCCACCACTGCCTGAGACAGAGAGGGTGCTTCCAGGGGCGCCGCGCCTCTCTGCCCGTCCGCCCGCCGCCGGTCCGTCGGTCCGTCCTCACGGCGCCTCCTGCTGCCGCGTTCCCCCTGGCCGCGGGGGCCGGCCCGCCGGGCTGCACGCAGGGACACCTCCTGCTCGGGCGGGCGGTCGCTTGGATCGTAACTTCGTGTCGTTTCGTTTCGTTTTATGTTTTTGTGTTGCTTTGTGATTTTGGGGGGGATTTTTGTTTGTTTGTTTTTGCCCTTCATGGTCCAAGGAGAAAACGGCGGAAGCTTTCACTACAACAGAAACAGAAGAGGTGGCCTCGTGGCTGGTTCACGATGGCCAGCCGGGGTGGGGCCCGGGCGGGGGGCATGGCCACAAGAGGCCCCTCCCCGGGATCGGCCTCATGGCACCGGCCCCCAAGCCTGCCCTGAATGGGGGGCTGAGCTGAAGACCGGCCTCCACCGGGCCTGGGGGCGAGGCTGCCCTCCCCACCCCAGCAGTGCCCTCTCAGCCTATGGAGGCAGAGGCTGCTTGGCAAGCCCGCGGGCAGGCCCAGGTCAGGGGTCAGCTTGCTTTTGAATCCCCACTTTCCCCTGAAGGGGCCCCTGGCAGAAGGCCCCTGAGTCCCACACACACACCCAGGGGAGGTGGGCCTGAGCCCCTCCTGGGTGATGGGGGTGGGGAGGGGGTGCTCCCCTGGCAGACCCAGAATCTCTGCTTCTTAGGGTCGAGTCCCCCCCAGGAGCCGGCAACACATTTACGGCTGTGAAGCGTCATGCGTAGAGTTTAATTAAAAGCAGTGTAAGACATGAAAAAATAATAATTTACAAATGACCAAGGGTTCTTGAGGGAAGGGAAAAATGAGCTGATACCAAGGGCTCAAGGAGAAAGCAAAGGTTTTGAGAATGATGACGGCAACAAATGTACAAATGCGCTTGGCACAACAGATGGGTGGATGGATTGTGATAAGAGTGGTATGAGCCCCCGATAAACTGATAAAAATAAAAAGTTTCTGTTGAACATGGGCCGGGTGGAGGGCGGCGAGGAGCACCCGTTCCCTGGTGGCCAGGCTGTGCACTGAGGGCTAGGGGCTGGGGGGTGCTCCGTGGCCTGCCTCCTGGGCAGGGTCTTGCATAAAGTCGGGATTGTGGGACCTATGGCACCCCCTCCACCCCCCAATCAAGGAGGAAACTTGGGATTCAGAGGCAGGGCAGGGCTGTCCCCTGCGTGTGGGCGCTGGTTCGTTTGTGAGAGGCAGGCAGTGTGCCTACCACTCCGGATGGCCCCATGCGTGGGGGGTGAGGCGGCCGTGCCCTCTCTGCAGCGGCTAGCCTGCAACAGGGAAGACTGAACAGGCCAGCTGACCGCTGGCGGCTGCACAAGCCTACCAGAGTCAGGTGAAACTGACTTAAAGGAGACCATCGATAAACCCGGTCTGCTCCCAACTTGTCCCAAGAGCCCTGGTGGTGTCTTTGGGGCAAGAGCAGGGCTGCTCCCCACAAGGTTGGCAGTTCAAACCCACCAGACACTTGTTGGGAGGAAGACAAGGCCTGTCTGCTCCCCTACAGAAACCCTAGACAGGGCCATTATGGGTCGGAATCTACTCTAGGACAGGGATTTTTTTTTTTCCTTGGGGGAGCAGGGACGGCAGCTGTGACTGGGGGAGGGGAGGGTGTGGGGTGATCTGGTGCTGTGGGGACAGCTCTGGGCTCAGGACTGGCCACTCTAGGGCAGGCCAGTGTCTAGCTTCCTGACTCACGGGGCCCCTCAAGAGCCAGGGACCACCGAACTGCCCCACCAGGCACAGCCTGAGGGGCCCCCTCAGTTGTGTGTGGGGCCAGGATAACCCATCTTAAACAGTGAAAGGGAAGCCACGTGTGAGGGATGCTGTGAATGAACAGCTGTTGCTGGATGGGGGTAGGCTGGGCCGACTGCCCTGTTGGTGGGGTGTAGGGCCCCAGAAGGCCTGTACCCCATGGCGGCCAGCAGCACCACCAGCTGCTGGGGGACAGGACCAAAGAAGAAGCAAAGAAAACACCCCCCTTGGGAGAGGGTGTCTCCCTGCCCTGAGTGCCCCAACATGGTGTCTTCTCTGATGCAGGAGACTAAGCTAGCTACATGCCAGCAGGGACGCCTGCCCCTTGGCTGGGGTGGGTGGTGTGCACTGGGAGGGGGCTTTGGGTTAAGATGAGCTAGGTTGCATGTGTTGACAGCTAGACAGACAGACAGACAGACACACACGCCTGTACCCCTGCAGCAGCGAGCCCCCCTCCCCTATAGCCACACTATTCCAGGGAGTGCCCACCTGGCCTAGTGGTCAGGAGGAATAAGGAATCGCAGGTGCCCTGGTTCTCCAAGGGGGGAGAAGGTGCCATGTGTGGGTGACCAGAAGTGCAGAGGGACAGGCGGTGGCTCACAGGCCTCCAGCCCCTCTCTGCCTCTGGAGCACTGGCCAGCCGGATGAGTGGCTGAGAATGTGCAGGGTCAGGACTTCAAGATTCAGGGTGCAAGCCCATCTAGGCTGCCTCCGAGTTTCAGCAAGGGTGTGAAGGGGCCCATCTCCCAGGCTGGGGGCTCAGAGCCGCTCTGCACACACTGTCCCCCCACCCACCCCCACGCCGCCCCAGCCTCTTACCATGGTTCCGATGCTGTAGGTGGCTGTGGGGCCGACGGTGTGGTGGTAGGGGTCAGCGGCGGGGTACACTCTGCCATAACTGGGAGAGCCGGGGGAGGGCACAGTGAGGAGGGGGCAGCAGCCTCCACCTCCCCCCAGTGTGGCCCCCTGCCCTCCTCCCTCCTGGCTTTGTAGGGGGGGGAGTGTGAGGAAGCTGACAGGTATATGGGTCCTGCTGTCCTTGGGGCTCCACAGGTGAGAAGGGGAGCCCAAGGGGCTTGGGGGGGAGCAGCTCATTTGGGAGAAGGCATAGTCAGGGAGTGTGGCAGGAACTGGAGCGAGGCTCTGTGTGTGTGTGTGTGTGTGTGTGTGTGTGTGTCTATTTAAATGGTGGCGAGCGAGGCTGTGTGTGTGTGTGTGTGTGTGTGTGTGTGTG